GCTGCACGAACGTCCTTTGATCACTGCGAAGGTGGAAAAGAATTATACTGGAAGCAGTTGAAACGGAACAGGTAAGAAAAGTGTCGTCTCACCGTTTGTGCTCGATATAGTTCTTTATCTTTTAGGCTTATTCGGGACATTTGTCCTGAATTGAGACCAAAGATATCGCTTTCTGGTGACATTCGAGGAATACCTACATCTATAATTATGAGATATGACCACTTGAAGGTAGGTGTTTTCTCCACTGCGAAATAAATTTTTCTCAAATTTTCTTTCTATGCAGGATCTGAATGCCGAAGATGATGAGTTGAAGGAGGTTGTTGGTGGAGATGATTAACCCGTAGAATAGGATAGATGATTTAGGAATTTACTAATTTTCTACTTTTGTTATGTTTCATCCATTTTTATGCTCGCATTTACATACTGGTGATAAATATTTACCTCAGATTTGGTTCAGAAGTGTGATAACGTGCTAACGACTCCCTTATCTTGTTATGATAGCGCCTCCATATCTTGGTAATCACCAGCTGACTTAATTACTGATTTTCCAGTGAATGGGCTCTAGAGTGATAGGTTTGGGAGCATGTGCATTGTCATCAATATTCTTTGGAAGCGCTTATGTCCCGGTGAAAAGATTTGACGCTGGAAATGGTTGGTTATCTGATTAAATTTATATCTTTCAGCTTTTCAAAAAGCTGTAGATTTTGCTTTGTTATGATAAAAACCTTCAGGCTTATTCGTGCAATGGGTGATGTCAGCAGCCATACTCTGCGTGGGACTGACTGTCAATATCATACAGCACTATCCCAGATTTCAACCTTTTGCAATGCTCGGTGGAGCTTTCTGGGCCTTAGGTTTGCTTTACCGTACTTGTACCATGCGGCTTGAGGCGAGCAGTCCGTCTTCCCAGGTAACGTGACTGCCATACCTATTATGAGTTCTCTCGGTATGGGAATGGGTATGCTGATCTGGGGAACCACTAACTGCGTCACTGGCTGGGCTGTGGGAAGGTAATTTTTGAAAACGTTGTTCTTGTTATCTTCACTAAGAGGAATCTTGTTTTCTTCATACTGGTGGAAATTCTAGATATGGCTTGTTTGGAACAAAAGCTCATGTACCAGCAGGGCCAGCGTTGAATTACCTAGGTCTTCTGATGGTAATAGTGGGGTGAGCTTTACATTTGGTTTTCAAGTTTCATATCTATCAGATTTATTCAGCGGTTTCTGCTTTTCTCAAATTCGACCCTCTATCCGTTCGTTATCGCACCCCGAAGATATCAATGAAGGAAGGGTCACTGGAGATGATACAGAAGAAGGAAGCCCACTTATAAGCCCATCAGCACCGGCGCTTTTCAATCGTAAGACCAAGAGAATTATGTGAGTATAGTTAAATTTGAGTCTTTTGTGATATTCTATTGATATATGCTTACTCTAGTGCTATTTTTACTGCTCTTGGTGCTGGTGTTTTGTATGGGGTTACATTTGTTCCGGTTATCTATATGCAAGATCACCCAGAAATAGTTAGTCCCAGTTCTTCATAGTTTCTTAGATTGGCTTCAACCCTCTTTTTTTAGTATCCCTTGGCTTCCAATCTCGGTTTGGACTATGTGTTCTCACACTACTGTGGCATTTTTCTCACCGCTACTGCGCTTCTCATACTTTACATCATCCTCAGCAGGGTGAGTTATGCCTCAAGTATTAGATTGGAACGTAAGTCTTGCACCAAAAATTCTAAAAAAAAA